CCAGGTTTAAAATTAGCATCCCATTAACTATTTAAAATATTTATTAAATGGTCATATCTTTTGAAATATTATTATATAAATCTGTTTATGTATATCAGGATATTTTGAAAAAATTGTTCAGCTATCCCATATTTATTATTTAATAGCTAATTAAGTGTAATTTACATTTGCAGTATAAATACATTCATTTATTAATTTAATGTTTGATATGAAGCTCGATAACTTTTAATAGTCTTGTGGAGCAAAATCGTATGGTTATAACACTATATAGGTACTTAGGTAAGTTGTATTTGTTGTACTACTGCCAATGGGAGTAGGTTTTATTAATTTGTTGACATTTTGATGAATTGAAAACAATGTTTAGGTACATTTTTAATTAATGAAAATGAAATCATACATAACTTACTACATACTGCCTAATTTTAGTTAAACTTTACAAGTTAATTAAATAAAAGTCCAATACCAATTAATAATTTACCAATAAATATAATGAACTGTGTTTTGGTATAACAATTATCCTCATACAATTTTKCCGCAGAGTACATATGGATTTACCCCGCACCTAGGGTAAATCGGTATTATTCTTAAAAAAAGTAAAACGCAAATTAAACAAATTTAAAAAAAAAAAATTGAAAAAAGTTTCGAATAAAAGTTATAGTTTTTCTATATATTACCAGTTTAAAAAATTTAATATCATTAAAAATTACATGATTTATAAACCTATAACCTAGGTCATTGTAAAATGTAAATTGCAATTGATACGTACAATTTTAAATTTAATGGTGAGTTATTATGTAAGATAAAAAGTGTGTCTGCATCTATTTCTATTTTCTACGGATATTTTTATAATTTATTTATAATACTATAGGTAGGTAATATAAGTAGGCAAGTTTAACTATAAATTACATTATATAATTTAAATATAAAATAAATTACTAATATTGATATATTCATTATAACTGTTGCCAAACTATTATTATAATATTTTTTTCGTAATATATTATTGTTTTAACTTGTACTTACTTACCTCTGAATCGTTAAAATATTGACTGATTTTATTAAAATACAATTTTTTTATAATTTGATAACAAAAAGGTGTACGATTTAAATTATTTCAATTAAAATGAGACCAATTTTAATTTTTAAAGTTTTCTAATTGGTAACTACTAATACGCAATTTTTTGTAACACCTGTTGGTGGTCCTCAGTACTGCGTAACACGCGATTTGTATACAACTAAAAACGTTATCTTGCAACTGTAATTGAAATTTCCCTCCGAGACATTAGCAGAGACATAGTTGAAATATTTAAAGATATAGTTTTATATATAAAAAGATATGGTTCTCCTCATATGTTTTAAGCTCTTTAATACATTGATGTGCTTTACAATACATTTAATTTTTAGCTATGAAGGTATAGATTTATAGTTGGTCAATTATTAAGGACTAAAATTCCAGAAAGACGTCACCTACTCCACAACTTTGTATATTTTTAGACACAATTGCATAAAAATACTTATTATATTTTGTTTCCCCTCACAAAAAAAAATAACACCAAGTTAYGCCATTGAATTCGAGAATATAAATATTAAATATTAAATTTTATAAACCCGATGACGTATTTGTCACAGATATTACTATGGGTAGCAAACTAGCAACTGCAATATTTTAACATGGACATTTAAAAAAGGTACATGTATTTTTTTACAAAATAAAAATGTATCATTAATGAAGTGATACCAAATTATTGTTCTATGCGGAAATACTATAACAAAAATAAATTACAGCCTCATTGTCCTCTGAAAGGTCGAATCTGTGATATGCTGTTAGAGCCCCGTACCTAGCCACAGGTGCCAGGTAAACTGCAATATTTACAAAATATTGGCTTGAAGCAACATTTTTGGGCTAAAAATAGACTGTTGAAAAGTCAAAAATCAATATTTCATTGAAATCAACTTCGACAATACTCGCGTTCACTCAGACGCGTTGTAAATTGAACATACAATGTAATTACGTAATAATAATATAATATATTATCATTTTTTTTCTTTTTATTTGATTTAATATAATACTATTAATACTTCAATTTGAACTATTTTTAAGCACAACGATTCGCATGTGAAGTGGGTGGTAACGATATTGAAAAGAAAAAAAAAACAGATTTTGTAGTACTTATTTGTTGAAATACGTCACGTTCAGGATCCGTACGAGATGTAATATAATATGAGTATATTATGACGTCTCTAGTGGTAATGAATGATGATATTAATATGATTGCATCCAACAAGTACCACATCCCTCCGACCGCTCTACCTTTACCCAAATCGTCATCCCTGCCCACGAACCCGATCGATAGCGAGATCGGATTTCACCAACCCCACCRGAAAATCTGCTGCCCATATTATGGCTTAGGGGTGGGTGTAGTTAACCACTTACAAAGTGCACACCCACATACACAGGCACACTTACTGTCTTATATAAGTCAATCACTGCTTGGCGTTCTGCGCCCATCGCTAGTCGGATGAGGTTTAAACGTCGAAGTACTTCTGCGCAGGCGACCCGTATCGTCTTCACTGTGATATAAGTACAGCCACTGTTGTTGTTATTTTTTTGATGTTGAATTGTGGTCGTCACTGATATTGACTGCGAACTGATACGATAAAACAATACAGTCAAGGTGGATTGATAGCAATCCACCTTGAGTTTATACAGTGACTATATGGCTAACTCTACAACTAACTTACTGTGCCTATATAATAATTTTTATCGCGGTGAATCACAATCGAATAATTCGATTGTTCACAATTGTTACATGTTAACATAACGTAGGATAGACAATCGAGTTATTCGATAATCGATAATTTATTATATTTGTATGAATTATTGTCATAGGTTCCAAAATGGCTGGTAAGCGTAGAGAATTTGTTTAGTCTCTTAGATGAGTTTTCAACTTTCAGTCTTCTTATCCGTTTAAACTTTAAGACAACTTTCAAAAATCCGTAGGTATAGAAAWTGGATATCAGACTATCAGAGTGATGGCCAAAGTAACTTGTAAGAAATCAGCTGTTTGATGTGATGAGGAATACAGCTAGCACTCCAATGGAAAAATTAGTGAACTAACAATTGAAACCTTTTACAGTCACCAATTTTTCGAGTGTAAAACTGTAAAATAATAATAATATGTGCATTGTATAATGTATATTGCTTGTTTCAACATACTTTATTTAGCTAAGATTCCAACATATTAGGCATTGAACGCGGTTAGGTAACCTAACCTAACGAGTTCAAATAATATTTGATATGTTTCAATTACAAACATAAACTAAGATATTATTTAAATTATATTATTATCTTAAAACTTTATTGTTCATGATTAATTGTATGATGAAAATTATATTTCTTATAACGACAAACGTTTGAAGAAAGATAAAGTCAAGCATTTATCAAAACAACGTTATTTACATTTTTTGCCTGGTTATGTTATCACATATAAGCAAATAGACAATATATAATTGTTGGTGAATTTAAGGTAGAATACGACAAAAATGTTCAGTTCTTCAAAATTATTATATGAAATTTAAATAAAATTAGAATTTTGTAAACGATAATAAAACTTATCTAGAAATATCRCGATGTTACCATTCCCACCTCGTAGGTACATCAACGATTGCATTTTTTCTAAATTTTAGAGCTAATTGTCAGACAAAACCCTAAGACTGGTTTAACGGATTTTTATTTAACTGTTATTTTAATTTGCTAGACGTAATAAACTTGTCAATTAATTGAAAACAATATTCGAAATCAAGATCCAGTAATTCYGAGTTCCGCAATTTTCCCAGTCTAGCTGACATACCTAATACTTTTACATCGTGTTTTAAATGACTAGGGAGACTTTTTTTCCTCTTATTATAATTCCTAGATAAGCTAAAATGGCTAATTAATTCACTTCTTAAAATACTGCAGATTATGGTAACACGGCGTTTTGGATTGGCAATTTAGATACACATCGCAGTAGT